CCCCGCGGCCCCTCCTCGCGGAGGACCCCAGACTTACCCTCGGCGAGCCGCAGCCACAGAGGCGGACCCCGCATCTCCCCCAGGCCCCTTGCCGGACTCGAGGAGGCGGCGTCCACACCGCTCTGCCTGCCAGCGCCAGCCCAACTGGCCAAAGTAGTCACCAGTTCCTGGACCCCCTTTTTGGTCTCGGCATCGTGAGCACCCCCGCAATATTGTTTCAGAATTCAGGATGCTCCCTTTGTTTTTATTTATTTATTTTCTCTTCTCCGAGCAGCCGCGACTGCACCCCCACCTCCCCTTTCTTTTTCTTCCCCCTCTCTCTCTTCTGTTCACCCACGGACACTTCCAAAACGTGTCCACGGAGCCCGTTTCCTCTCCAGCTGCAGCCAGGATCCAGCCTCCCGGGGACGCAAAGCCGCCTCCGTGTGCATCCGACCGTCAGCACGGAAGACAAACGATCCAACGACGTTACTTCTTCCAGCGGCGATCAGATACTCCCGCTAATCCCACAGATTCATCTCCACTGCAAATTGACCTCAAAATGAATCCCCGGCGCTGAAGCCCACCAGCGGCAGCGATGTCGTAGCCCTGTTCGGTGAGCGGAAGAGCGGTGGCTTCTCTCTTTCGTTCTTTCTTCTTTTTTAAAAATCTTTTTGGATTCTGGGTGCTCGGCTCGCGGAGACGCCGAGGACCCTGGTTTTCCCCAGCAGAGGTTCCGCTCCAGACCAGCGCGGGGAAAAATGGTACAAAGGTACCCCTAGCGGCCCCGCGTGAGATTGCAGGGACCTCGCTTTTTTTTTACACGCCCCCCCAGCCCAATCCCCTCTCCTCACTTTTTTTTTTTCCATTCCCCGTGTATATAACTGACTGCTATAGTCGATAAACAAAAAAGCTGAATGGAGATGAACATGAATAGTGTATAATTACTTGGGGGGAAAAAATAGTCTGATCTTTTTTTTTGTTTTAAAGACTGAATCTTCTGTGCTTGCCTCCCCAGTATCCACCTTTTTTCTACAGTTTCCCCCAATGGCATTTAATACCTAAAAGGCCAATTGGGGGCAGCTACGGATTTCGAAGCAAGTGTATTTGTTTCTTGACTAACTATAGATCTCAGAAGGAGCTTCATTTTTCCTGAATATACTGCTTCTAGAAAAAACTCAACATTTTGTTTTCTTTAAAGGAATATGAATATATATGTTTTTAGACAATCTCTTCTCATTTTGGACTTTTGATGTTCATTCAGCAAAACAGATGTTGGCTGCTGTGACCCTGGGGTGGAAGAGCATGGCCTAAAGGTCATTGTATAGGCCTCAGTGTTGCCTGTCTGAGTCCTTTGCAATTCAATGACCTCCTCAAGATTACCACTAGCATTTTGACAGGTTTTAGAGAAAAAGAGCCAATGCAATATATTTTAGGACTCCTTGTTGGTGATACTTCACAGATTTACTGTTCCTACCAATAACCCATGAATTTTTAAAAAATGAGGATTATGATTCTGTAGGACCATGGAAGGAATGGGATTCTGCATTTCTAATGAGTCCTGTGACCACACTCTGATGATCAGGGACCTAGTAAACTTGGGAAATTGGATTCGTTTTCATGCTGGTGGGTGCAGAAACTGCAAGGACTCCAAGATCATTTTCTTAACTGACTAAATAATTAAGCCTTTTTTAATGGAGGAGCTGTTAAGGAGTCAAAAGACCTTCCTTTTATTACTAGTTTTGCTATTAACTGTCTATGTGACAGTGAGCAGTCAGTTTTGGGCCCATATTTAATCATTAAAATCAAACAGTAAATCCAAATAAATGAACAAATACACTTGTTTCTAGATGGGAGACTCAGTACTGTAAATTAACCTGTAAAATTAATGTAATATTATAAAAATCCCACTCAAGTTTTTTTATAGAACTTGGAAGTTAATTCTAAAATGTGTTTGCAAGAGCAGAGTCAAGTTGTCAATACGATTTTAAAGAACATGATATGGGGAATTTCCATATGAACTATTAAGGCTTAATATAAAATGACAGTAATTGAGGCAATGTAGCTTTGCTTTAGAAATAGAAACTGGTTCATTAGAAAAGAGGGTTCAGAAATATATTGATGAATTTATAGAAACTTGATAAAATAGGTGACATTAGGGATCAGTGCAAATAAAAGAATTATTCACACAATAAACTAGACATATAAAAATATAATACTAGCACTTGAGTTCACACTTAAATATGCATTTGAGGTAGAATAAAGACTTCAAGATACAGAGCAAAGCTTAAAAACATTTAGAAAAAGATAGCTAATGATGTGGGGCAGATTGGAAGAGAAGAGTCTATTAAATATTAAGACATAAAAAGTGAAGTCCACAGAGAAAAAATATTGAAGTTGATATGTTAAGATTAAAAATTCATGTACATCAAAGAAGTCCAGGCATATATTGAGAGAGGATATTTGCCATGCATATAACCAAAGAAGGATTAGTACCCAAGTACATAAAGATTTCTTACAAATCTATAAAGACAAATGATAAGGGGAAAAATGAGCCAAGAAGATCAATAGTCAATTGATAGAAGAAAATTCTCCATGTCCAGTAAACACAAGAAAAAGGTATTTAATTTCCTGAGTCATTAGAGAAATACAAGTTAAAATGATGGCATATCATGGCACAGCTATGAAACTGGCAAAAGTTTTGTGAGTCCAGCAAAACAAAATATTGATGAGGATGTGGAGCTTCCATGGAGAGTATATGATAGAGCAACAACTTCAGAAAGCAGGTTAGTGATATTTGAGGAGCTGCATATCCTAAGGTCCAGTCTCTCCACTCCTGTCCACTTCTCCACTGATGTATAGAAAAAACCCATTACGGAATTACTTGAAGAAGACAAAAATAGGAAATAATCTAAATACCTTTAGATAAGTGGACAAGTAATTTATAGACTATTCACATACTGCAATACTGTATTAAACGCAGCAAAAAGGAAAGGAACACACTATAGCTACTTGAGTTAGCTGGGATTCATCTCCGAAATGCAATGTAAAGCAGCAACAACAAAAGCGGGTCTCACAAAGGGATCATCTCATTTATAAATCAAGTTTAAAACATGCGAAATAATTATATCTATTATTTTTGAGCATTTGTACATGTAGCTAAAGTGTATACACATGCATAATTATGATAAACATGAAATTCAGGGTAGAAGTAATGTCTGGGAAGAATGGAATTTTATGGAATTTAGGAAGGCATCACAGTGACTTTCAAACAAATCTTCAGTGCTTTATTTTTCAGGGTGAATCTTGAGTCCACAGATGTTTATAATATTACATGTAAATTGTTCTTAGGCCTGAATTATTCTACTGAAATGAAATATTTTTAAGCCAGATGATTTCTATGAATCCTTATAATGTAAGAAAATTTTCTAATTAGAATATGTATGTGTAGAAGTGGGAAAAAAACATAGTATGGAATTTGGGACTATCATGATGTGTTTTCAATAGAGAGAGTTTAAAAATCTGTAGTACTTTATATTGCTAAGTAGAAATGGACAGATGTTTATTTATTTCTATAATGTATATAAAAATTTTCAGCTAGCAAGCAAAATTCACCACCTAAATGAGAAAAATGTGATTGAAATAGGGAAAAATGTAACCCTCAATTTGCTTCTCCTTGTATTTTTCCTTTGATCTCACATGTAGTACCTCATGTATAGTAACAGCAGGGCCTCTGAAATTCTGAAACTGGCCATCAATCGATCACGTTCAGTTCCGACCACGTTCAGAGACTTCTCTGCCAGAAAAGAGGCCATCAAAAGCCAGAATAGCCCTAAGCTTAACTGCAACACAAAAGATAATTCTTCCAGAACATTTAAACTATGTATGAGAATGCAAATAGGGAGGCCTTGTTGATAAAAAAAAAATATGAAAACTGGAAATCTCATTTCAAACTCATTAAGTAGTATTTTTTATAATTTCATGAAAAATGGGAAAACATACCAAATATTAGAAAAGAATTCTTTTTTAAAGTCCAATCTTAGAAATAAAACTTAGATTAGTAGTTAATACCACCTAACTTATGCTGAACTCGGGCAGGAAGCCTGTACAAATTGTCAAACGATCCATCTTCAATCATTCAGAACAGTGTTCCTGAGCAATAACTACAGCAGCTTTGTGATAAAGAAACAATAAGAGGACAACTGAATTTCCTTCAATGATAGAATAGGCAAGGGGGGAGAAGTAGATGTAATATTTCTGAAATTTGGAGAAGGTGACATTCTTTCAACAACCATGCATTGAAAACTACCTCCTGCATACAGGACACAGCACAAAGCATTTCATAGGAGAGTTGACTGTAAACATACCATTGCCACAAACCCTTACTTTGCTATTAATAATTAATGTGATGATTGCAAATGGTTCTTTTGAATTGGTACTTCTCTATCCACACTAAAGATGAGATATTAGATACTAATACAGAACTGAAGGTTTGTTTTCAATGTGTTTAAGTACAAATTCGTTTGAAGGTTAAGGTAGTCAATGAAAGAGGGAAGTGAAAGAAGGAGAAGTGGGAGAATAAAGATGAAATACAAATCACGCTCATTTCTCTCCCTGGTGGCTTACTTTACAGAGAAGACAGTAAGTTATTTTATCTTTGTGTCCCTCTGAGTACAAATGATTAGTAAATATTGAATGACACTAGATCAAAGAAACTAGTTGGTACATGAAAAAAATTATTCTCTATATTGGATGAGCTTGCAAATCTCTTTTCAGAGAATGAGATTAATAGAGGAGGGAAGTAAAACAACTACTATGACTAACAATAATGAGAAATAAATGGCCAAGACTGGCAAACTTGTGCGCCATTTGGAATATGAGATTCCAATTTGATTATGGCGCTAAAATCTTAGCTGTGCTAAACCTCAAGGCAGGATTACACATCCCATTTTGTTTTCTATACTTTAAACAAACAAACAAAAAAATTGATTAATACCAAATGCATCATGTGAAGAGATTGCTTGGTTCTACTGAAACATAGATGCCAAAGTATTTAATCATTGCCCTTAGTGCAAGTAGAGTCTTATGAAAAGAGAGTTGTGATTTTTTTTTTTTGGGGGGGGGCGTAGGATAAGATAAAAAGCACATTTTTTATAGCCAGTTCAAATCAATTACCTTTTGCTTGGTGCCAAATATTATAGGATGTTATGAAAGATCAGTATTCTATGTCTGAAAAAATAAATAACAAAATATTATAAAACAGATTTCTAAAACAAGTCTTGGGAAAAAATATTCCTCTGCCATCTTCAGAACTCCCCTGATATAAGCTCTAATTTTAAGTGCTCAGATTTGAATCTAAATGAATGGCAACTGGGAATTATGAAAAGCATAAAAATAAAAAGTGCTGCAACATTACAAGGCCTAACTACTGCAAAGGTGGCTATTTACAAAGAGGTTCTTTCTGCAGGGAAGAATCTGTTCACACAATCCTTCTTAATTAGAAAAGACTACACAAAACACCTGACTGACACCGGGTATTTCAGGTATGTACTGGGAGAAAACACCTGCCTGAATGCTAAATTTACCAGATACATCTTTATATTTCATGTTTTGAAGACTTGTAATGGAAACCAAGGAAGTAATAATTAGGACTAGATATTTTAGGATGAGACTGTCATGTAGAGGAATGGAGTTTTTGCGTTAAGGTTGGTTTGAGACACTGCAACATATTTCTAAAGTTAGGGGCTTAAGTCAGAAATAAATCCAGATTTTCAAAGTAAACTCAAATCATTTTGAACTGTTAAAAACTTTCAAATGTTGTTGCCATTATGCTAATAATTCTTTTGCTCCTTTTTGAATCTTTTTTGTTTCTTTTTTTACATCTATAATTTATACTTAATTGCTACAATTATTCTTTACTTAAAATATATAAATATTCAACTCCAAAGATTTTTAACTCCTAATAACTTAACACATTATTATTTTGTGGAATATTTTATTCACTTTGAAATATATATTTTTTTATATTTGTGAGCTTTAATAGTATTTTACTGACCCTCTAATAATTTCATAGCAGATTCTCTTGATATGATAGCTACTTTTGACTCCATCAGACCATGATTGATTTTAGTTTGCAGTGTAGTCTAGAATGAAGTAAATTACATAGAATGATCTTAAGTATTCCTTTAGTACTGAATAAATACTAACAGAAAACCATCCTATTGTACATCATCCATTAAAGTTTCTTATATATTGGTTTTAGTCAATGTTTCTAGTATTAGCAAAAAATACTGTAAAATTTCACCTAATTATGGAAAAGCCACATGAAAATTAATGTTCTGTAGTTCAATCTAGAAAAGGAAATTTTTAGTTATATCCCAACAGCATTACCATCTTATTGATTTCAGACACAAGTTTGGTACCCTTTCTTCTTTGGATAAGATTCCATGCTAGTTACACAACTAAAAATGAACACTAGCCTGAATTCTATTTATTGTTCAATTAGTGACTTAATGAGCATCATCTACCTGTCCCAAAATATTTAGTTTCATAATTTCCTAAACATTAAAGGGGATCTTTAAATGACACCTCCAAAAGGAATGGATCTCTCTCTCTCCCTCTCTCTCCCTCCCTCTCTCTCTCTCTCTCTCTCTGTGTGTGTGTGTGTGTGTGTGTGTGTGTGTGTTTTGTATCTGACTATGTCTCTTCTTTTTCTCTCTGGATCTCTGAACACACGAATCTACCTATTTAGGTAATTTTTGATAATTTACATCAAATTAGGAATTATGTCACAAATGTTTCAAAAACTGAATTTCCCTAAAATAAATTGTATTTGGTTTTAGAGCATGTAAATAAAACTATTTCTGATTATCTGTAAATAAACTATGGAATGATGTAATGAAATAGAATGATAAAACCATACAACACTCAATGCGTAGGAAGTTGTTCAGCCTTCCAACCATCCATTATAAATATCATAACCCTCACCTAAGCATTTTCTCTAAATATTTCTAAAATCTTCCTAGAGATAAACAAGCTAATAAATAACGTTTTGCTATTTTTAAAACTGAAATCTTGAAGCTTTATTTCTAAATTGTACTAGAAGGAGGAGAGAAAAAAAGAGAGAAAACTATAATTTTTAAAAAGCACTTTACTAAAATAGATTATGCAGAGAAGGTGATGTCAAAAAAAGTTCAAAGTAAGATTTATTATAAGTCACAAAACTGACAGACTACTAGGGTAGATAGTTTATGTGTTAACAGGAAGTTTACCTATTATATGGAACAAGAGTGTAAGCCTTCGCTATCTTCAATGCATTAAGCCAATTCACAAGTCACATCTTCATCATTAACAAGTTTGATAAAAAATATAAGAAGTACCTTATAGCTGAAATTAGTTTTTACTAGGTCTCAAACTAATCGTTAAAACAAATAGAGTGCATTTGAACTATGGCCCAGAGAATTGCAGTTTTATAGTTCTTGTATAGACTCCAAAGATTTCCTTTTGTTAAATAGGAAAAAAACCAAGAAGTCAACTGACTGATTTAACAAGGTCACACAGAGTTCAGCGGCGTCACTAGATGAGGAGCCACTGCACCTCCCTGCACCATTCCACTTCCGACTTAGGGCTTTTTATGTCTGGCTGCTGGTGTTAAAGTGTCATTGTTGAACTATTTGACCATGATCAAATTTTAAAAATCAAAATTAACATGTTGAGAAAGGACAACACTAAAATATACTTACTACAGTAAGCAGAATAATAAATGTCCCTGGAATCTGTAAATACATTACCTTATGGGACACAGGGACTTGACTGTTGTGCTTCAGTTAAGAATCTTGAGCTGGGACCAATGCAGTCACAAAGGTCCACACAAGGGGAAGGCAGAAGAGTCAGAACCAGTGTAAAGGAAGTGACCACAGAAGCAGAGATCAAAACAGATGAAGAGAGAGATTTAAAGACACTACCCTGCAGGCTTAAAAGATGAAAGAAAGGGCCATAAGCCAGGGATTGCAGGTGGCCTCTGGAAGTTGGAAATGGCAAGAAAATGGATGCAGCCCTTGCCAAACCATTTTAGACTTCTGATTTCCGGAACTGCAAATTCACAAATTTGTATTGTTGTTAGCCACTAAATTTGTGATAATTTATTACAGCAACAGGAAACTAATACACTTAATTAAAAATATTAAAAGTATTCTGGGAATAATCAATGCTTCCCAATAGAAACATAATGTGTGCTACATAAGCCATTTAAAATTTTCTAGCATACACTTTAAGAAGAGTCAGGTGAAATTAAATTTAATAATATATTTTATTTAGTCCAATATATAAAAGTATTATTGTTTTGGTATATAATCACTATCAAAAATTAATAGCAAGATCTTTTTATAATTTTTTCATACAAATGCTTCAAAAACCTAAAGTGTATACTGGATATGTGGTGTTGAGAGCACATATCAATTTGGACTAATTCCTTTTCAACAGCTCAATAGCCACAGATGGCTAATGATTGCCATATTGTATAATGCAGCTGTAGACTGTAAGAAACAAATTAAAAAGAAAAATTCATATATTTCCTATAAATGATTCTAATATTCTTTTATCTATAACAATCTAGATTAAGAATCATAAATGCACCTAAAAAAACCAGGATGGGTGTATGGCCAATGTTTTGATTAATTTGTACTTGAAATGTGTATTTAAAAAGATCAGAAAAGGAACGAAAGCAAAATATAACATGAAAGAACAGTACAATTGTCTAATGATACAGAATTGTCTGATGTTTGCGAATAATACTAAGGATAATAGAAAAAAAATTTTTTCTCTGATATTTTCAGAGCAAAAAAATAGTCAGGGGTAGGATAAGCATGGGATTGTTTGGGGCCAACTATGTGATATGACCAACAGAAAAGCAAAACTATTAAAACCCTGCTTTCCAATTTGTTCATAGAGAAGAATGATATTTAAACTGAAAACAAATATGATGGTGATGAAACGGTCAGAAACCCTGAAGGTGATTTAAATTCATGTTAAGATTCCAGGTCCAGGTCCATACCTAATAGGATAATAAAAATACTTGAAGATGTGTTCTTGGAACTAGTACCTCCTGCCTTTGAGTCACCACGGAGAAGTGGCATAAAAATTATTAACAGCACTGGTTTTCAAACAGAATTCCAGGAACTGAAGTTTGCTATTCTCGACAACAGAAACTCTAGAGCTCACGCTCACATGTGTTCATTAAGAATATGTCAACTCAGAATAAAATCTTCTTTATTAGAGTTACTAGGGTGGCAGATCAAACATGTGGTTTGAATTGTATATGTTGACTTCATCCAGTCTTTTAATAAAAAACACTCATAATTTTCTTCTGGACAAAGTTATAAAGTATGGGGCTGAAGGATGCTGAAGTTGAGGAGGTCCTTTGAAAGTTGAACAATCATTCTTCTGTAGAATTCAATGAATGTTCTTTGATGTCCTCTTTTCCCTTTTTTGAGGATTAAAATTTCTAAAGGAATTTGTTT